CCCCCCCCCCCGTCAAGGCTATTAGTTTAGCTGATGTTAATCGTGCCACTGAAATGCAGTATCCGAGGTGTGCAAGTAAGCTGTGCTCTTTCTGGATAAGAGCACACGAGCATACAGCTGACCATAAATGCTGACAGATACCCAGGAAGCATATGAATCCATTTTGATGATGCAAGAATTTACTTGTTTACAGTCTGCAGTACAGAGCATTTCAAGCAAAAAGGAAAAGGCTTGATAGAACTAGGGCAAGCATACAGCCTTCTCTCACTGAGTGTATAGGCTTGATTTCTCCCTTGCACTTAACTGCTCTAAGTTACGCAACAGTCCCATCCTTCCTAGAAAAGTTGACATTTCTGTTTCACTAAGTCGCTGAGCTGCTCCTTTGTTAACATGTTACATTAATCCAGAATATACTATAATTTACAAAGAACATCTTCAGTTTATTAAGCACAACTCCTACGATACAAGAGTCTACTGCTTATATATGTGGCAACGTATGACCAATTTTGTCATGCTGGAGGTAGAAAGAAGTTACCTGGCTAAACGCTTACCCTATTGTTACACAACCTTAGTCATGAAACAGTCTCTACTTCAATCAGACTGCAAGAGTTCTCTCTCCAAAGGCATCTCTGGCAGCGCTGTCCTGACAACCAGGCTATTTTCAGAAGTATACTACACGGAGTTTTTCAGAGGGGAAAAAGGGAGAGTGATAATTATCACCCTTAAGTTCTGCTTACAGTAATGGGGGGGAAAAGCTAGCCTAATATTGCATCAAAAACTACATTCACGTTTTTAACATAAAAGTATGGATGACTCCTTTTTACCTGCCTTTCAAGACCACAGCTTCTCAGCTCTCAAAGTGGGACTCTAAGTATTTCTACAGATAAAAGCATCACTGCTCGTGTCCAGGTACGCGCAGTCAGTCTACAGTCTTCTGCGTGCTGGGTGGCGTCGCATCAGCAATTGTGGCTAGATAAATGAGGTTTCTATGCAGGATATGCTGGTACCTATGAGAGGAAGAAACATAGTATCTGGGAAATGTGTTCTTTTCTAGCAAACCATCCACACTTCCATAGTCGCTTTTGGAATCTGACCAATATTTGCTGTTGTGGAAAGAAGTAGCAAACTATAAAAATAACAAAAACAGGGCAAACACCTCCATATCCCGTTCTTGTTCTAAAGCCCAGTATACTGCACTGAACTGCACTCTGTCACCAAGTATGCGCTACTAACCCACTTTGATAGTAAACATGCACGTTAAGAGGGTTGTATGAGCAATACGGAAAAGACGCAGAACTGCAAGAGGGCGGCTCGGGGGCGGGAGATGACAGCGCTCCACCATTGGGCTGCTCTGAACATAGAGCCGTGCCCAGGCTCGGCTACCGCCGTCAACCCGTCTGTCGTCCAGCTCCTCTGCAAGCTTAAGAGCTGAACTGCTGTGGAGCCACGAGCTGACCACCCTCACCCTTCTGTAAATACCACTCAGTGCTTTACACACGCTGGGGGGGAGGAAGAGCCCGCCCAGGAGAGCTGCTGCTCATACCGACACGGAACAAAACCTCGACAAAAAGGCGCAGGCATCAGATTTATTCTATACGGTGGCATTTTTGCTTCACAGATCTGCGAGAGCAATTTTGGGGAAGCCTCGTAAGAAGTACAACCGCATTTGCTTCTTAACGGCGGGGAAGCTCCGGAGAGCAGGAACCGCGCTTCGCTCTCCTTAGGAGTTTGGGGACTTTGAAGCCCCCGGGCTTCCGGAGCAGGCCGCGCGAGGCCCCAGCGCCCGCGCCCGCGGGGGCTCACTTACTGCACG